AGGTCCAAAAACTCTCACTTTCAAAACGAGGCTAAGTGTAAAACCTTTCTTGTGAAAATGAGTTTTATTTGCACGAGAAAAATATTACTGGCTTTGCACATAGCCTTGCTTTGAAACAGGGCTGGGGCAACTCAGAAATGGCCCTATGCAAACTGGCCCGGACTAGAGTTCCATTTTGACCATGTACAAGTGAGATTTGTTTGTTGGTAACTTTGCCATTCTTGTCAATAGCTAACTGGGTCTCTGTAATAACTGGGCTTTATAAATCCTCTTACTTTCTATGTGGATCACATGCTACCAATAATCATTTGTGTGGAGTGTTAGTAAACTTACTAACTGGTAACAAAGCTTCTTTAAGTGGGGGTACTAGTAGGGGTTGTAAAGCACTTGACTGTAGAGTGGGATTTCTTAAATTCATCCAGAACAATACTCAGGATCTTTTAAAGTTAAAATAAAAATGCAGGTTATTCCTTTGTCCAGAAAAAAGCTAGTTAGACAGGGTTGTCACTAAGATTTCAAGTTGCCGGGTAAACACAACAAGTAGGCGGGGAATCAAACGGCTAGGGATTTCTTTTGGTTCTATTTTTCTTCTATTTTCCAAAAAAGTAGCCGGGGGCCACTCTCTTAGTAGCCGGGGAATCCCCGGCCCCCGGCTCTTAATGACAACCCTGGTTAGAAGAAGAATTGAAGGGAGCCTAGTACTCTGACCTGTGAAATCCAAGGTGCCTAGCATACATGTAGGATTTCTATGAAAAAAGCTAAGATTTCCTAGTCACCCAATAGCAACAGTAAGATGCCAGAGACCACTCCCTGGCTAGTGCTTTAAATCAGCAAGTGGCTCTGATTAGGGAGTTTAAGCCGCAACATTTTTGAGTGACGCATATCAACCAGAAGTGGACTTTTTGCACTGTTGAGCAATGATTATGAATAAATTTTTAAACAAATCATCTCTATAAGAGCAAAAACACTTACATGTAGCAATACAAATTTGGTAGTATCAAGACATGTTAAAAGAGAAAAAGGCTCACTTCCCGCTGACATACGTCGCTCAAAAACATCACTACTTAACCCATTCGCTCCTAGAGATTTTGCCGAAAAACGCGTTTTGAAGCTAGTCGAGTGGTTTTCTGGTCACTGTCGTGCTATAAAGAGCTAAAACTTACCACAAACTGGTTTACAGGTCGAACACTTCGCGGTCTTCTGATCCAGATGCAAAATATCAGTTTGCGAAGTTCGGGCATGCGCAGAAAGCAAAATTTCGACATAGTTTTTGGGTTTAAAAGTGACACAGCAGTCTTGA